TCAGCTCTTCAGACCCAAGGCAAAACTCTGCTAGTATAGCTAGTTGTTTTTTTTTTTAATTCAAGTCCTTGTTTGTGCATGGCTCAATCACAGCTCTCACCTGCAGCTGCCTCAACTAAAGCATGCCCGTGCTTTGAAAACAAGAGGGGATGTATCAGAGAAGCAGCACTGAGCAGAAGGGACAGGCAGGCTGAGGCAGACAAAGGTGGAGACATCTGCACACGTCCTGGTCACTCTGCCCCAAGCCCTGGCCAGCAGGGTCCTCCCCTGTCAGAAAAACCCAGAGGAATGAACAGCAGCACTTCTGCCAGGCAGAGATGCCAAACTAGCAAAACAAAGTACAAGATAACAAGCAAGAATAGAAGACAGACATGAAAATCCACTGAAGTAAAACCAGATATTGATTACAAGGATGAGGCTGAGCCACTTCTGCTGTGCCACAATTAGCAAACTCCTTGGGGGGCTGCATCCCAAAGGGAACAGCAGGAGTCTCCCTTTCCCCTGGGCCCATGCTCCTTTCTGTGCAGTCACACATGTTGAGGACCAAGCACAGCTCAGGCAGAGGCTCCCTGCCTGCCCAGCTCAGCCAGCAGGCTGCTCCCCACATCTCTCCCTGGGCTCAGGTTTGGGGCCATCTCACCCTTTACAGACTGAGTGGTTCCTCACCAGCAAGGCCCACAGAACCCTTATCTCTCAGTTATACACCAACAAGGCTGACCCAGACTCCCCTGACTTCCCTTGGCTGCCCAGAGGAAAGGGAAGAGGGTACAAAAGCAGCTTGACAGGGTGGAGAGGAGAGGCCCACCCAGCCTCTGCCTGTCTGTGGCAGGGCATGGCACCTCCAGGAGAGAGTTCTATCCTGCTGTGCAAACAGTCCTCAGGAAAGACAACTAGAGGAAAGAGTGAAAGGACGACAGAGCAGGAAAGGGGGCTCAGCATTTACAGTTCTCAGCTCTTCCCCCTCTCATTTGAAAGGCTTTGGCTTCCTCAGTAAGTGCCAGCAAGGAAACAAGGCCATTGGAGGCAGCCAGGGACAGCAGGTACTGGAGGGGGGGGATGTTCTGACCAGCTCACTGTTCACCTCAGGAGACACAGAATCAAACACAATTTAGGTAACAAGCCAGGGCAGATTTGAGCCTCAGCCCAGCTATCCAGAAAAGGAGTTTTAACACAACATCCAGGGGAGCTGCTCAGTGAGGCACAAAACCCAGCAGCACACACAGCTCTGCTGTCATCGGTCCTGCCACCAGTGCCAGCACTGCAGGACACTGGGAGGCTGGGACAGGGCTGCACCAGCATGGGAAGTTTCTCGAGTACAGTCTACCCTGGAGCAGGATTGCAGCATCTAGGCTGGAAACACAAAATACTAATTCATTTTTGACTAAAATCAATAACTTTTACTTGTGCCAAAACACTAGAAGAAAGAGAAATGTAGTGTGATATAGCAAGAAATGTCAAAACAAAATGTTTTTTTGTTCTGCAAAGTGAAGAGTCCACTGTAGCCACAAAGAAGTCGCTAACAGAAAAAACCCCAACGGAAATCAGAGAATTGTATTTTTAGTATAATATTCCTTATTCTAGAAATAATTATTTTAAGAATGTCAATCTATTCAGCCAGCATTATCGAGTCCCACATATCGTTGTGCCAGTCAGAGCTAAATTAGCAATGATTTGTGCTCTCAATTATCTCTGGTGAGCTGCGAGGGAGGCGAGGACAGGAAGGCAAAGCAACGTACCCTTATCCAAGTGCTGGGATTTGTTTTAAGGCATGCCTGGAGGAACCAGCCAGCCAACAGGATGCTGCACCACAGCAGTTGAACACTGACTTCAGGTCATGTCAGCAAGGCCATAATCCTCCATACAACCCCAAACCCACAGTGTTCAATCATGTGGGTACCCCACCACAGCCATGTCTGTCTAATGGGGATGTTTGCAATTCAGTGTTTTCAATGTCTGGACATCAGGAGAGAAGCAAGGTGGTACCTCACAGCTGAAAGAAGAGCCCTTGGCATGACTCCCTTTAACATATCAGAGCTTCTCACCCTCCTGTAATTGCTCCAGAAAAATGGTCTTCTTGTGCAAAGGAGCATCTGCATGGTACAAGCTTGGAAAATCTCCCCAGAGGATTGCCTGTCCACCTGGCAGGACAGGAGGGAAGCAGGGGCATTGAACATTTATTAGCTCAACTCAAGGAAATGACTGAAGAGTTAAAACAAAAATGTTTCTGGGGTGGGCAGCACTCCAAGAAGATAAAATATTCAGCAATGTTATGTTCCTGGACACCATATTTCTGACAATAAATTTCATGCCTCATATGCCATAACAGTTATGATTTCAGGCAATAACCAAAGAAAACGTCTTCATCCTTTCATAGCAACCCAAGAAAAAATATTTGTAAGTAAACCAGGCAAATCTCAGAGGAGGATTTTTATTATTACTATTTGGTCTGTCACTTTGGTAGTCAGGCCTGGGAAGGTAAGATCCATTTCTGGCATGGACCCACCTCCAGTGCTTACAGCTTCATAGTCCCATGAGAGCTGGCACTGAAACCCACCACCTCACAACAGACCCCAGCAATTCAGAAGAATTAGTTCTGTCTTTGGTGACACTGGAGCACTTTACCCCCTCACTGGAGCACTTTTCTAAGATCACTATGCACAATGAACCAGAAGTCCCCTCTGCAGACATGTCCCAGGCCAACATGGCAAGCCCAAAGAACATCAGCAGTTTTTAGCAAAAAACAGGCTCCACTTGCCTCATTTTTCTTTATCCTTCCTACCCCGCATGGGTCTACTCTTGCTTAATAATGAGCCTTCCTGTGAAATCCCAGTGGGTGGAATTAGCTTCTAGCTATACCATGTTTCAGCTCCCACAGCTCCTCAGGGGCTCTTCCTTCCCTCTGTGCCTGCTCACCTTCTAAATTTTGAGTGTGGTTGCAACAGAATGTAGAGGTTTTTTTTATTTCATTTTTTAAATCATGTCTCCAAGTAGGTTACAGTGCCACTTTATGACATTAGACAGCTCCCATACTGTAACCCTGATGAACCTGTGTGCAACTGGTGGCTAAGGACTCCCTGCAGGTACAGCTCTGAGTTCTTTGGGGTGAAGCACTCCATGCCATTTTCCATCAGTGAAGCTGTGCTAGTGTGCACTAGCAAGCGATGTGGCTCTTAAGGATCATCCACTTGATATTGCATCTACGAATCAAACCTGAACTCCACATCCCAAGTTCTCCCCTAGAGATCAGCAGACAGCCTCCACCAGTCCTTTCTGGTGTTCAAACAGCTGCACAGTGGAATTTTCAGTAGCTCATTTCTTGGCTTCAGCTGGTTTATGCATTTACTAGATACAATAATTAGCTTCCTCCCTTTACAAGAAGATTCCCAAACAGATTTCAAAAAAAAACCCCTTCAATCCCTCTGTAGTAAGTTTATCCAGTATTAATCCATTGAAGTACTGCATTATGTTCTGCCAGAAGAATTAAACAGGAAAAGTGGGAAGCTCTCTTACCTGTAATTGACTGACTGGCCAATAGGAGTCAAGTGCTGGCAAATTGGAGGTGTAATTTCTCTTTAATTATGGCATTAAAAAAATTACATGATATACCTATTTAACATGCAAAGGAGTAAAATCAAAGCTAATAAGAATAAATTGTAAGAGAGGACATGTACAAAAATGTAGTAGCAATCCTTTTGTTTTTTATGACTATGCTCTACTGAAGAGAATGCTGGCTGCTGCACCATTGTATTGCCTGGAAAAGGTCCCCAGCTCTAAGACCCTGCCAACATGCAAAACTGCATTGCACAAATGCATGGCTACATTCAGAAATATCTGGTGAAACCCAAGTGGGTGTATATGCTTTTCATGCTGCACATGAAGTTTATATCAATACACAAGTTCAGTTGAAATGAATGCACACAAAGCCCAGATACACCATTCTAGAGCTCAAATACGAACACAAATGAATGGATGAAGAGTTTTGCAAGCCCTCAGGTAAATCCATTTCAAAATGCATTTAAAAGAAAATTGTGTGACCTCTGTGTTTAGACAATGGGTTACAACCAACAGTATAAAATCTCAGCAGTTCTATTTAAGACAACTACTAGTGCAAGACAGACAGTAGGAGTCCCCATAAAGTATTGGCATCTGAGAAGAACATGTCACTGTCACCAGAAAACACAAATACACCCATGCCTTTTTTCTGGGGTAACATATTTATCACTTTAGAGAAGCCTATTTTCTTTAGATTAACACGGTAACTGTTATTCCAAATTGCTCAATTTCAAATCAGCTAGTCAGCACAAGAGTGTGGGCAAGGGGAAACAGGGTTTTACGGGGAAAGGGAAACAGGTAAGGTGTCAGAGGCTGTTTGATCCCAAACCTAATAAACCCCAATGAAGCTGTTCTGTAACTGCCCTAACCCAACCCAGAGCACTGCTGCCAGGAGAAGAGCAGGTCTGGCTTCTGCAGCCTCTGCATCCTGGTGCATCAGGGAGCAGGAGGCAGATGCCAGCATCAGTAACTGAATTTTGTTTTCTGGCACTTGGATACAGTAGCCAAACAACAATTACAGTTTTACTTGCAATGTATATTTAAAAACAAGGAGCTCCCCATGGCTAGAAAAATTATCCTTTCAACATTTCCTGCTTTGTCAATACAAATTTAAATTTAAAACACAAATTAAACTACCTTCAGTCTCTGGAGGAAAGGTTAGTTGAATTTAATATTTTTTAGTGTGTCATATAGGAAAAACCCCAGAGGTGCATGCTCAGATAGCAGTGACATGCAGCCCCAGAGACAGACAGATACAAACCACACTCACTCCCACACACTTGATAAATGCACCTGATTGCCCAGGAACCAGGACAGCCAGCCATGACCCTGCACATGAAGTGAGCTGAGAGGGTGACTGAGTGCAAATGTTCACACAGGTGATTTCTGCAGATGAGAACATTCATTGCCACAAGAAAGGCAGCACAGGTAAAAGAAAGACAGCTTACCTTTCTGAGCTGCTGGACTCCACCAAATATCCTCATCACTCCATCAATCTCCTGCTCCAGCCTCCTGGCCCAGTACTGCATACTGCAAGAGATGGAGAGAAAGAGAGAAAGAGAAAGGGAGAGAAAGAGAGAGAAAGAGTCAGAGCCCTGACACTGAGTAGATAAGCAAGGGACTGAAGGGAGAGGGAGGAAATCAGTGCCTCAGCTAAGTTCACTTCTCTCTTTCTGCAGCACCGTGCAGGACAGAGTACCAGGTACACACCACTTTGAGAATTACAGCTGGGGCAAGTTATAAACTTCAAGACTTCAAAATTTATAAACAAGGCACCACAGAGAGAAGAGCGGAGAAAAAGGTACAACAAAATCTGCAAGGCTTGAGGCTTTATTTTCTCCTTATATAAACATTTGCAGTAGATAATTATTTAAGCCCAGAGTGATTAACAAGGTCGAAGTGCTGTGGAGTACAGAAAACAGCTTATTGCTTCAGCTGGGCTCTGTGGCAGAGAGCAGACCCCGAGCCACGGCAGGGCCAAAGGTGTCTTGTCCTGTGCAGCAATGGATTATCACTGCAGCACCGTGGGGAGACCTGGGCACAGCCAGGAGCCAAGCACAGAGCAGAGAGAGCCCAAGGGCTCAGCTGCTTTGCACCTTCAGCAAAGCCCAGCCTGTGCCAGGCAGCCACTCTGCCAGGCCCACTGCGGGCAGAGCTGCCTCCTGAGACAGCGGGAAGGGCCGGGAGCTGCCCCTGGCACGTCCTTCATCCTGAGCCCTGCACGGAGAGCGAGCCGGCTGCCAGGCCTTCCAACAGGCACTACACCCTTCCATACGCTCAGCCACACGCATTTCTGCTTACAGCAATAACATCAAGTTAAAAACAACAACATATAAACCCTCTTCTAAATCCACAGAACTTGATAATTCTCCTTCTTTTAATGAGATTTCCTGGCTTCAGCTGCTGCCCAGGCAAATGTCAAATCTCCTGTCTGACCTGGAAAAGCAACACTCGATTGCCTCTGCACCACTTGGCACTGCCTTCAGTGCTTTTTTCAATGACTTCATTCTTCATGCAAAGAGACATCCCCCAGGCAGCCCACACACACTCCCCCACAACCCCCAAACCATGGAGGGGCTCTCCCAGAGATCAAGGAACAAAGAAACCCAGCTGTTCTTCAGCTGGGCACTGGAGGACTCTGAATTACACAGCACAGCCCAAAAACTGGGCAGAATTATCAAAGCAGAAAGATGCACTTAGCTGAGGAGCAGAGCAGAGCTGAAACATCTCTTTTGAGGGACCAGCAGGGTAGAGCGAAGGGCTGACAGACACATATGTTACTCAGGCAAAATTCCTTCCAGTTAGTAACATACAAGGCCGTGGATGAAAACAAGATTTAACTGTGCACACCAAGCCTTCTCAGCTTTCCAATAGCACTTATGCTGTGTCCCATCTTCCCACAGAGACAATGCTGCCTCTTGTCCCCTGGAAGCATGGCTAGGGAAGGGAACTTTAGGAAATGAGTGAAGATATCAGCAAAGCCACTATTCTGTCAGAGGAGGGAGAGCAAAGCCTTCAGTGGGGCTGCCAGTGGGAAGGTACCAGAGAGATGAGGGGGGTCAGGTTTAGGGGTTTTTGTTTCTTTTCCTTTTCCAGTCAAATATTTTATCAAAGGTATATTCAGGTTACCCTGAGTATCAAAGTTACCCACAAATCTTCTGAAGCATTTTCACCAAAAAATATCTATTTTTACACAAGGCATTAATTTAACAAAAAGCCTTGAAAAACCAAAACCAAATTTATTTTTCCCCTCCTCTAGTTTGTCCAGTGAACTGAAAAAAATCAATTATATGCTCATACTCAGCCACTGGTCTGAGAAACCCCACTGAGCACTTATGGAGCTGACACTTTTCCTTAACTTCCAGCTCTGTACAAGATCCTCAATTTCAGTGACACCTGCCTGTGTCAGCTCTCACCAGGAACACCTACACCACCACAGCAAGGGAAAATCACCTCCCATCTTGTGCTGTATCCATCAACATTAACAACTGCTCATATCCGCTTAAATGTCACGTATGGCCAAGCCTTCAGAAAGGATTAGTTAGCGAGGAAGACAGAGGCATCAATATTACTCTGTTGGCATATGCAAAAGAGACACTGAGCACTCAACTGAGCTGGGATTTACAATTAATTTAAATGTAGTCAGCAGATTCGTTTAAAAGAAAAAATTAACTTATTCCACCCCCTGCCTCCGCCCCAAGAAGTACTACTATTTTAGAGAAAAGCCACTGGGTTTTTCATTCACGAGAAAAGCTGCAATTCCATTTAATTGTGCAGTCTTATGATACCTGACTCTCAATCTTACAGACCAGCAGTTTCCCAAAGAGTCCAGCTACGGCTTGTAGTATCAATATTAAAAACATATAAATACACGTATTACATTATCAAATAAAAAGGGCAGCATTTTGGCATAGCGGACACCAGGTTTCTAGATTAAAATAAAAGTAATAGCAGAAGCAGCTTCTTTTTTTTGGTGTCGTGTGGCTCTCCAAGAGCTTTGGCCAGTGGTAGTAAAAATTCTTTTTTCTACCCAGTACATTCCTCACCCACGTGCACTGGCAGAACTTTTGGCTGACCCATTACTATGTCCCTCTACGTTGGTAACTTCCAAGAGAGAAGTCTGTAGAGTAGACCACATCCTAAAATTTGGAGGTTTCATCTCAGTTGCCATATAATGGATTGAAAGTTACCATTAAAAAAAACAAACCATGAAACTAATGCACTTAAAATTTGATGTAAGATGACTGTAGCAAGGCTGCAGAGGGTAAAGAAACTGCTAGCCCGTGATGAACATGGAGACTGCTGTGTGCAGTGTGTCTCCTATGGAAGCTGTAAGCAGTAAGACACGACAGTCATCGCATTCCTGGGCCATTACTGCACGCCTCAGGTGCGTTACGGGGCTTGAGGAGCGATAACTCCTCCAAACACGCTGCCAGGAGTGCCCTGCTGCTCTTGTGAAACATCATTTACAAATAAAGCATAAAGAACACAGCTGATGCACCGGCCGGGAAGGCACTGGCACGGCTGTGGTGGTGCTCACAGAAAGGCACCAGGCTCCTTTACGAGCCGTGTGCACCGTCCCCTCCTAAAAACAAGCACCACTTTGATGTCTGCTGTAGTGAGGAAACACGGGCCAGGAGAAAACCTTAGAGCTCAAGAATTTGTGATGGCATTTAATAGCTCTGTGCCTGGAGGAACTGCAGGGAAGGAGCCTGGCAGCCCCACTATCCCCTGGCCTCTCTTTGGCAGTGACATGCCCAGAGCATCTCACTCATCCCCATTGTCAGGAGTCTCCATAGGACTCTCCCAACCCAACAACTCTACAGCTGTCATATACACATTCAGGATATCCATTAAAAGTCTTTAGTATTGAAAAAATGGTTGTTTCCTTCACCTGTATATATCACAGCCTCCAATGCAACATTTGCAAGGGAGGTAACTGATTTTTGAAAACACAACACTGTTTATCATTGCCTCTCCAAAGAAAACAACAAAAATATTAATTGATTACATAATTTGCATATTTGATTTTTCTTAAAGATGATATAAAGTAGGCCTTAAAAAGTACATAGATATTCAAAATTATTTACTGTGTCAAGCAGAACATCAGGAGGCAAATCACTGCTGTTGCAGTTGGGGCCAAGAAGCAAAGCATCCCACATGTCCCACTCCTGCTCAGTGGGCACCTGTGCCTTGCCACTGGTCACAGCAGTCCTTTTTTTAGGATTAGGGTACGTTCCATGGTTCAGGTCACCCAAGCAGTTGCAGAGACATCCATGCATGTCCATGTTGGTGTCTGAGGCTACACTGCTGCTCCAAATGTGTAGCTTCAGAAGAAAAGGATAATTGCCTGGAAAGACAGGAGACAGGCTGTGCTTGGCCCGCATCCTCCCACACTTGTGCACACATCAGATGGCAGCCTGAGTCCTGGTCTTCAGTATAGAAACTGGAGACACTCACAGAGAAGACACCAGTGCAAGCCATGCGCTGCCAGCCTGTGGCCAGCAGCAGGGATGTGCCACAGCAGCTCAGCCCAAGGTCACTCTGTCCTTTGGTGGCTCTGGGTACATGGGCCATACGCCTCAGAGGCTGCAGTGACACCTCCTCATGGCTAACCCAGGGCAGGCAAGGCAGTTGAACAAACCACTAATGAAAATAAGCCTCATTGCAAGGCACCTCTCACAACTGGGAAAAGAGAAGCAAGAGGAAAGAAAATTGGTTTTCTGCTTGAGGACATTTTTTCCTTAAAAGAAGCCTTAGGAGAGTGCTTGTTTGGCTGTGAACAGAAGAGGACATTAGGAAAAAAAAATAAAACAGGAGATTTAGTCCTTTTCTTTTGCTGCCTTCCTGGCCTCAAAAACAAGAGAGTCGCAGAAACATAAAAGCACAAGAGGAGAAGCTACTTGCTAAGTGGATCTACTGCCCCAAAGCTTATTGGGTTCTACACAGAGTATGTTTTGAACAAGTGTCTACACTTCACACAGTGTGTTCAGCCAAGAATGCTTCACCCTGATTCATACGCTTTGGTTCAGTGCCCAAATATTGCTATTTAATAAGGTTATTAATTACTGTGTTGTCTAATTTTTGCTGTGCAGGAACTTCTTATAATTGGCTTATTCCTTCAAGATGCTTAATCCTTTAACTATAATAGTGTGTGTCAGTGCACGTAGGATATGCCCCCTCTGAGCTCTCTTACATACCTAGGCTGTAAAAACCCCACGTCAGCCAATATTTACCCAGCAAGGAAAAACAAGTTGCCTTTTTATTTTCCCCTGAAGATACAACTTAGAGTAAGACACCTGTTTCCTTCCAAATAACTTACTGACCGTGCTTCCAGACATTATCAAGCCTCCCACATTGTCATTTTATGACTGTGTTTTAATTTAAAGTATGTGCCCAGGTGTTTATATAAGGGAAGGGTGGGAAAAAATTGCCTGCTGGACTAGTCTTTTCTTAATATTTATCAAGACATTATTCACCTCTACCATCTGGTCTTCCCTGTAATAAGAAAGCGTCTTTGACATTATTAT